GATTTAGATCTTGTTCTTTTCAAGCACTTGTTACGGTTCTGAGAGCTGAACAATGAATAAGGATGACAGAAGAATAACATGTCTTTGAACTGTGGTGTTGGAGAAGAGCACTGAATGTCTCATGGACTCCCTCTTGGAAAGGTTGCAGCCAGAGTGCTCCTTGGAGGCAAAAAATGACAAAGCTTCATTTCACATACTCTGGGCATGTTGCTAGGGAGAGGCTATATCCTTGAAGAAGGACATCATGTTTGGGAATGTGGGGAGATGGCAAAAGAGCAGAGGGTGGGGGAAGAGAGGAAAGAGAGGAAGACCCTCAATCAGGTAGATTGACACAGTGATTGCTGCAATGGGCTTAAGTGTGTCAGAGATGATGAGGATGACACTTGTCCAATAGTACAGGGATTAGGATCTATTGTTCATAGGGTTGCTATGCATAATACTTGACTCAACAAACCATAACAATAATGACAAATACTGATTACATGTGAAATGGTGTTCTGAATATACTAAATTATATCAATGTAATATTAAAATTCACTCCATCCATTTATTTTTATGTTTTTAACATGCAGGATTGCTAAATAAAAGAGCAGACACACAGCTACACTCTATTTTCAGATTTTTTCACATGGGACATACTTGTACTACACAAAGTATTTGGTGTTTATCTAAAATTCAGTTGTAGTTGGGTGTTCTATATATCTGTTTTCTAAATTTGGCAACTTGACTAAAATAGCAATTAGAAAATTTAAAATTACAGTTTTAGTTCCTTATTCTCTTGCACAGGGAGCTCTGGTGGCCCGGCCAGTAAGGAGTTGTGATGCCAACACAAAGGCAAGCAGTTTCAATCATCCACCAGCCATCCCACACTGGAGCAAAATGAGCAATCCCCCCCCCCCACACACACAATTTTTTGTTGTTGTATGCTATCTAGTTGCAACTGGCCCAAACATAGCAGCTTTTCAGAGGCAGTAAATTTCATGGGAGGAGATTGCCCATCCAGCTCCCACAGAGCAGCTGGTGGATTTGAATCATGTGCCTTTGGGATTGCTGTGTACCTTCTTACCACTAGGCCAACCACTGGAGCACCAGCTAGGGGTTGATTCTGACTCAATGGCACAGAATAATAATGATTCTCTGAATCAGCTACTTTGCTAACTTTTTAAATTGCTAGTAAATCACCTCTTCAATTGTCTCTGTTCAAAACCAAGCTGAGGCAAACATTTAATCTGAGTGTATTCTTCAATTATTTTTAAGTTAAAAGTTTACATTTGCGTACACCAATGTTCATAGCAGCATTATTCACCATCACAAGAACATGGAAACTGTCCAGATGTCCAATCACAAACGAATGGATTGAGAAGTTGTGGTACGTTTATACATGGAACACTGTGCAGCATGCAGGAACAATGATTTTGTAGATTACTACCTAACTTGAGAGGGACTGGAGAGCATTATGCTGAGTGAACTAACTCAGTCCCACAAGGACAAATACTGTATAAAAAACACTATTGTAGAATGAGGGTCCAAATTGGGGGGGAGAGGGTGGAAGCAAAGGGGTAAGGTGTTAATCATAGGGTTACACAATTCGATGAGTGGGGAGTGGTGAAAGAAATGGGAAGGATATTTTGTGAAAAACAATGTATTCAAACTTTGTTAATAAATCAATATAAAATTGTGGGTTTTTTTTTTTTTTAAAGTTTGCACTTGCTTAAACACGTTAATGGAGAAGGATTGGCAATTTCCTCCCCTGCGACTAACTGCCTCTGAAAACCCTCTGGAGGGTCAGCTTCGAGTCAGTTGCCACTCGATGGTACACAACAACAACACAGACATGTTAAAGGGTAACGAAATACCAAAACAACATGGAAGGAACCTTGGATTAGAATTAAAAGACATTGTTCGCAATTTCACTATTGAAGTACTTTAACAGAACCAGTTCCAAATACTGAAGTACTTAACAGTTGTTGCTGTCATGTGCTGTCGAGTCGCCTGTTTAATGGTCGGTACCAGTTTCAAATAATCTGTCACTTAGAAGAAAGCAGCAGTGGGAAGGTCCTCTTATAAATCTCTACAAAAGGAGTGGCTTCGACTCCGCTGTGGATTGCTCATTCATTCACTGCCCATTCATTTTTTGTTTTTTTGTTTGTAGCTGTCTTCCCGCACAGGATTTCCGAGGAGACTGTGAATCCCATGGGAGATATTCATTTTCTTCC